AGCTTGGTGTTTGTTAAAACGATGGTTTGGGGTCTGAAGAGTTCTGTTGGGTTCTGGCTCCTGTTCTGCTCCAGGGAGCTGGCCCTACCTGCTGTGTCACTAATCCTGCTGCAGGTAACAGCAGTAGCCACCTAATGCCTTTCCCTGCAGGTTGTACCTGGTGTGCTGGGTTCAGTCTCTTTATGATGTTACTATTTCACAGGCAGTGAAGAAAGCACAGAGCTCGATATTTAGAGTCTTCCTGGACCCTTCCAAAAATACACTCTTTGGTTCAGGCTTTTGCATTACTATTATGGCACCTTGAAGCATTTACATGTTGCAATGCCTCGATAATTTTCAAAACACTAATGAACACAGACTGCCTTTAGGGCTGGGAAAAAACTTGTGAATCCTTGTCACTGCCGTGGTTTGCAAACTGCTCCTGGAAGAGAATCCTGTAGGAGGTGCCAGGCAGTGCTCTGTCCCAGCTGGTCCCCATCAGTCCTTGGAAGTGGCTTCCTGGAGGGTAGTCAGGGACTGTTTTGGGTCTGGAGCTCATGTCAGTGGTGTACAGTACAGGGAGAGTGCATGAGTGCTTTGATTGCTCCAAAAGCAGCTGATAAACTCTGACTCCCTGGGTGTCCTGTGGAAGGAGCAGTTCAGGTGTTGCTAACCAGTGAGGATTCTGTGCTGTTCAAGCCCAGCAAGGGCAGGTCAAGCGTGCTGGCAGCTAACGGGGAGTGTCTGTGCAGGAGAGGAGCTGCCCGAGCTGGACAACGTGGCTGACTACTGGCTGGGCTCCATCGCCAGGGCCACCATGCAGACGTACTGCGAGGTCATCTTGCAGATCCCACAGCTCACCCCACACTCCACCAAGCAGCTGGCCACGGACATAGGTGAGCAGGGGCTCCTGGGCACGGCACATCACCCCGGGCTGCTCTGCCACCACGCAGGCTTCCTGCCTGGCTCCCCGTGGCAGGATTCCCTCTGTCACCAAGAATGAGGATATCTTTCATTTCACAGTGGCTATTGCAAGCTAGATACAAATTTTACCTTGATTTTTCAGATTATCTGATAAACGTGATGGATGCCCTGGGCCTGCAGCCCTCACGGACGCTGCAGAACATTGTGACTCTGCTGAAGGCCAAGCCAGAGGAGTTTCGCCAGGCTGCCAAGAGCCTGCCCCGCCGGATGGCCGCTGGCATCGCGGCCATGAGGGGCCTGGAGGGTTAGCTGTGCCCCCCTGCCTCTGCCATCTCTGCCAGCAGGGGCCTGGAGGGTTAGCTGTGCCCCCCTGCCTCTGCCATCTCTGCCAGGAGGGGCCTGGAGGGTTTTTGCTGTGCCCCCCTGCCTCTGCCATCTCTGCCAGCAGGGGCCTGGAGGGTTTTTGCTGTGCCCCCCTGCCTCTGGGCCCTGCTCAAGGACTCACCTCCTCAGACTGGTTTTCATTTCTGCAAGGACAGTGAAAAGATCTCTGGGGACTAGGGGAATTTATTTCAGACTAACTTTTAATAAATGTCTTTGTCTAGGAAAAGCTTGTTCCATTCTTCTATCTTTAGGAATAAGAAAATATGTCCTACAGCCAAATTTCCCAAAACCTCTGGATGACCCTGAGTAGCTTGAGGAGTGCTGGAAATGTTCTGGCAGGTGCTGTAGAGTTCATCCTTTGTGGCAGCTTTTTCAGAGAGTTTAATCTACTGTATCTGAGGTGATGCAGCACAGAGGGGGCTACTGTAGGCAGTGGCCACTACTCAGGGCTGTCCTAAGTACAGGGTTAGGAAGGGTCTCTTGAGAGTTGAGGCTTGATAAAGTTTGGCCCTGAGAATAAAACCAGCTTTGTAGGTTGTTCCTGGTGCAATTTCACTATTCTACTGAAAGCCATTAAATTTGTAAGGAATTTAAGGAAAGTGGTGCTTCCTTGAAGAATTACTGCCATTTGTATATAGATTTTTTTGAAACAGCTGGTCTAACCTTAGTGTGCTCTCCTGGGAGACAATGGGGCAGAGTACAGGGAGCTCCCAAAACTGGAATGGCAGCTGAGTCTGAGCTTCTGCAGCTGGGCTCAGGCTGCTCTGGGTCCGGCTGGGGAGAGCCGGGCTGGGACAGGGCTGGAGCCAAGCGCTGCAGACACTTCCCACTTTTACGAGGTGTCAGGCAGCTCCCTAAGCCAGCTGTGACTGGAATGGTGAGCTGTCCCTGTCCTGCAGGAACACTCTGTTCTCTTCACTCCTGCTCTGGGGAGGGTGAAGCTCACCGGCCGTGCCTCTCCCACCCTTCCCTGCCCCAGTGCAGCTGGGGAGGGTTTTGGGGCTGGTCCCTGTCTGCTGCTGTTGGCCTGGGCCAGCAGCCAGCTGGGGCTGAAGTTGTGAGGACAGGGTGAGCAGCCTGGGACCTGCTGCCCATCCCAGGGACCTGCTGGTGAGCATGTGAGAGGAGATGCAAGAACTTGGGCTCTCAGCATTCCCCATGTTTTAAGAAATATGCTGTGTGTGTTCTGGTTTTTCTGTTTTATCCCTTGGAGGCCTTTACCAAGGATGGCACTGTGAGCATTGATTCAGGAGGGGAGGGTGTCAGGTCCTTGGTTCCCACTCAGCTGTGATATGGAATCAATGCTATCACTTTACACAAGAGCTCTCCTGTGGGAAAGGAGGCTGTGCTTGTGTGTTTGTGGGGCCCAGAGACAGAAATGTTCCTTTCAGGAGACAGAAGTCCAGGACAGCTTGTAAGGGCTGGATTCCTCTGTCTTTACAGATGTTTTTGCTGCCTGTCGTGCCCTGTTGGCACTCTGGGGGTTTAGGGGCTTGCTGAGCTCAGGCTCTGCCTGAGTGGGGTGGTTCTGCACAGAGCAGTGTGGCTGGGGGCTGTTGGTCCTCCCTTCAAACAAGAACCAGCTGGGGGAGAAAGGGCTGGGGCAGAGTGTGGACATGTTCAGGGGGTACTCCCTGACTCTGGAGTCAGTGAATTTTGAACACAGAACTCTGTTTTTTTGGGGCAGAGTCAGCTGTGCTGGTGGCACCTCGTCCCCCACATCGTCCCCCAGTTCCTCTGTCCTGCTGCTGCTGCTCAGCAGCATGTGGGCCCACCATTTCCAGCACTGCCAAGGGGCTGGAGGGACCCTGGGCATGCTCAGCCCCACATCTCTGCCCCAGAGCTCCCTGTGCTTGGGGAGCTTGCCATCAGAAGGATCCTGGATCCCCCTCTGCAGCCGCCCCGCACTGGGCACCGTGCCCAGAACATCATGTTCTGGTTTAACCACAGGATTGTGCTTCCTCTTGAGCTTTCACAGAAGTATTTCAGTGAGGCTGGTCCTGGTGGGTTGTGATGGGTTCCTGGGAAAGCTCCTGGGGGGAGAACCAGCTGGGACAGGTGAGCTCCCTGCCCCACTCAGCTCAGCCCCTCCAGGGCCAACAGAGGTCCGGCTGCCCTCACGTCAGTGTGAGCACCCCGTGTTCTCCTCCCTGCAAGCCACTGCCATCAACCTCGTGCCAGCACTGGACTACCCTCACTGCCAGCAGGGAAGAGAAATGCAACTTTTAGATCAACTTTTTATTATGGCAAGAATGATAATTAAACAGGCTGGTGCTTCCTGCCACCTGAGCCTCTGTGGAGTCGTGTTCTTGGCACACACCAACCGCTGTGTCCACCTGCACCATGGGTGGTACAAACCCTGGGCAGCCACACAACAGGGCACCCAGGGGCCCCAGCAGTGAAGGGAGAGCTCAGTTTCCAGTGTAGTTGTTTGGGAATGGAGATTCTGCAGACTCAGAGGTCAGAGGTAGCTTTGGTCCCATCCCAAGGCTCTGCTCCATGGCATGGCACAGCTGTGGCACACCCTGTGCCACATCTCTGCAGCGCTGGAGAAGGGGATAGGATGAGACAGTCTTTAAGGTCCCTTCCAACACAAACTCTTCTAGGGTTCTGTGATCTACCAGGCCATGGCCTTGCATCCACTGTCAGGATGTCCTGTCCTCTCCTCTCCCTGCCACCACCCTGCTCTGCTCACTGGGAATCGCTTCCCACCCACCTGGTGACAAGAAACAGTGACATGATTTTACAGCAACACTGATGTTCACAAGCTCTACACACTGAAGCCAAAGCCTGACTCTGTGAGGTTTATTGCAGGGTTTATTAGGCAGAGCTTCCTCCCAGCGATCAGTCATAGGAGAGGACAGCTTGGGCTTTTCCTTCCCTCTGAATTTGGGCAGATAGACAGTTGCCCAGCAAGTGCCTAGCCTGGCAGTGGCCAGCAAGAGCTGACAGGACCCTGCTGTCACTCGGTGGCTGGCTGGAGCTGACAGGACCCTGCGGTCACTCAGTGTCCGTGTCGGGGCTGCCAGGACCCTGCGGTCACTCAGTGACCGTGTCAGCCCTGGCAGATCTTGTGGTCACTCGGTGTCCGCGTTGGGCCTGGCAGACCCTGTGGTCACTCGGTGTCCGTGTCAGGGCTGACAGG